GCTTGGAGTTTATAACCAGGATGGTTGTAAACTTTCAGAATGGTTCTGAAAGTGGGCACAGTGCGCATAAAATACTAAAAGGCTTTTGGAACTGATAAAGTAATACGAGAGACTGAAAGATTCTGGGTGTCTTTTTCCCCTATACCTAATAATACTCTCTTTAACTTACCATAAATGTTGCGCTTTGCTGTATGGCTCCATCTACATGCAGCTCAGTCTGGGAGTTTGGGTATATAATTTACAAGCGTTCAACAGGTTGCACAAGCAGAAGATGTTTTGAGTTCATGTACATTTAGAACTGCAACAACTTCTGTGAGATTGAAGGACATTTGTTATTTAAGACGTAATGTTCTGTGCAATGTAATGTTCTGATCAGTGAGCAAAATCAAGTGTGCTTTACCATATAAGCTATGTGGAAATCGAAGGTGGATGTTGATGCTACTTAACACATTTACAAGGAGTGAATCTAATGCAGGGGATGAAGGTGTGCAGCCTTGTGTCCTAGAGCTCTTGGTAGACCTTTCTTCCTGTTTCAGTAAAAGTTTGAAGATACGATATGCTAAACAACATAAGTGCAGAGAAGTCAATGAATTTTCTCCTAAAGATTAAGAGTTCATCAGTACATACCTCTTTTTTTTTAAATGCATGGTATTCTTCTACATCATCTGTGTTTTTCAGTGTGCTTGGACAGCAACTGATGAGTTCTTTCAGGATCAAAAGTGAGAGCTAGCTATGAATGGTGTGATGCAAGTGGTATCATTTTGCTCTTTCCTTGGAGAAATGGAGCTGACGGACAATTTAGGGAAACTGAGTTGCTGCATTCTGTGCTTTTGAAACTTGTAATTATCTATGACATCTCCGATTGAATTAGTCCCATGAGTAGAGTAATAAATTACTTCCCTGATGACTGTTCACAATCAGATACTCCCCAAAATTCAGAAGCAAGAGTGGGTTGGATGTGATTGTTCAAAGCAGGGGCTAAACTTTATTTTTCTTCTCTGTGAAGGTATTTTTCTTAGTATCTGAATTCTGTGTTCCCTCTCACTTTTGTGGTACAAGTGAGTGCTGCTGGCACTTCTTGCAGTCTTTTTTTCTGTGATGCTGTGCTGCTTGGTCTTGTTGCATTTTTCCTATATCTGGCAGTCATCCCAGTTTTCTCTGTTCATGTGTTATCTTTCCTGTTTGTTTTTCTTGACTCAGACTATCTACTTTGTGTTTTTACTGTGGTTTAGCTGCTTATCTTGCAATATAATTCCTATCTTTCCCCACCCCCTTGTGTTTTCTGATGACAACTAGTTTGTTTCATTTGCTTTTTACAGGGCTACATCTGAGCTGTATGTCATCACACAGAGGATACTCTGATAATTGAGCTTTCATTTTCAAGCAAAGTGAGAAATCACATGTCAGGAGGACTCTATCTTTCTGAATGTTCTCGAACACCTCTTTTGTAGATGAAACAACAAATAGAAGGTTACACCCATTTTTTCTGTAGGGGGAATTGTTTTGAATACCTTAGTTTAACTTCATCGTTGCTTGTGTATGACCTGCTTCAATGCAGATAAAATGTTTTCCCTGATTGCTGTACTTCCTTATGTGCAGACCTGTCTTTTGCATGTGTGTCTGCTTCCTTCAGAGTAATTTCAAGCCATTTGCCTGTTTCGAGGGCTTGAGGAACACTTGTCTCTTCCATATCACTCTTCTTAATTGTGTAGGACCACATCCCGTTTCCTTTTTTGAGCAAAACCAAAGTATTTCAGTTCTTCTTTGTTTCGTTTTGCACAAGAGCTAGTGGCTGGCATTCTGTGGTCAGATGGTGCAAGTTTATTGAGTGACATTGTCACCTTGTTTTGTTCTTGTTACTGTTTCTGGAGTCTCTGCTTGGTATGGCTGTCATATTCTTATGCCTCAAAAGGTCTTTCCAAGTGCGATTACATACATGAGAATACTCTTATTATCCATCCTCACTTCACCTTTCCTATTTAAATCTTGCTCTACTGTAGAAAATTCTTCAGGAATGTTCCTTTTGACTGAAATAAAACATGATAGTGAGTTGATTGATTACTGGTGTGATAGAGATTATTTAAATAGTGAATATGAAGTGAAACGTATTGTAAGTATGCTATTACTATTTACGTGCTATGAGGAAAAAGTGTACTGAATAAGATGTTCCATGTTCAGTGGGGGGAAGGTTTATAGTTTTGTCACCTTGATACAAGTGACCTGCCAACTTTCCTGATTAAAAATGTTACATTTGTGAATCCCTGTGCGCTTCCTTTTGACTTCCCTAGATTATTTCATTTTAGTATTTAATGAACTGTTATACATGGATGAAGGGCAACTAAGGAAATGGGTTCTAGAATAAAACAAAATGTTAACTGTCTAGGAGAGGATTGAGGGGTTGGGAAGAAGGTGAATTGTCGTAGATAGCTTATTAAACAGCTCAAAGAGGAAAGTTGAGGAACTAAAGCTCAGCATTATTTTTTTTGCCTTGTTACCCAAGGGTCCTATAAACATCAGCATTCATGTCTTGATATGTGTGAGTAGACATGTACAAAACATCCTCATGCCTTGGGGAGAATGCAGTTGAAGTATTTCATGGAATTGCAGAATGGTCAGGGTTGGAAGGGACCTCTGGAGATCATTTAGTCCAACCCCTCCTGCCAAAGCAGGTTCACTTAGAGCAGGTTGCACAGGATTGCATCTAGGCAGGTTTTGAATATCTCTGGAGAAGGAAACTCCACAACCTCTCTGGGCAGCCTATGCCAGTGCTCTGTCACCCTCAAAGAAGTTTTTCCTCATATTCAGGTGGAACTTCCTACGTTTTGGTTTGTGCCTGTTGCCCCTTAACCTGTCACTGGGCATCACTGAAAAGTGTCAGGCCCCATCCTCTTGACACCTGCCCTTAAGGTATTTATAAGGTATGTGTTTTAAGGTATTTCTGTCAATGCTGTCGTGATCTTTCCCTTGGTTTTGTGACTCTGTTGAAGGGCCGCAGCTTCCCACCCTGGGTGGGTGCCAGCTCTCCCCCTGCCATGCTTTCCATTCCATCTTGCAACATCTCTTATGAACTGTGGCCACTTAGCAGGTTAAGGCTTTGGAGGTGGCATGGTAGTTGTACTAAGGCACGTATCTGTGTACTCGGGTATGCTGCCATTTCCTTGACTTGTAATATGTTTCCATCTGGAATGTTGAGAGAGATTTTCTGATGTTTCTGGAGTTTTTCTGTGGACTATACAGTTACTTTTCCTTTGTTCATTTTATCTTTGCTATGAAGTGCCCCAAAGTAGACATTCTTGACCTTCTAGCAACTGGGCTGATGATTTTTATGGCTCCTTTAAAGTGTTGCTAATAGATTCATAAATACAGCAATTACAAGTATTTGCTTTATAACAAATGTATTCAAAGCAGTTGATTTAGTGTTTCAAGATAAAGTGGCCCTTGTACTGAAACTGCATGTAACAGTTTCAATGCTGATTTTTTTTTCTCTCTTTGGAGGGTAGAGATACCACCACCATATATAATGGATCTTATCAGCCACCCTTTTCAAGGCCAAATTTGGATCTGGTTACTTTCGCTTAATTTTGGAGCATGAGAATTGCTGTGCTGTAGTAGTCATAACAGTTAGCTAAAACTTAAGCTGCAGCATTGTTATTTTGCTGGATGCACTTTTTATGATATTAATTTGACTTGATGGTTTGGTTTTAATTATTAATTCCCATTCATTTTAAGGATGTCACCTGTGTAGTAAGAATTACTATGTGGTATAATATAATACAAAATACTGGTGTTGTAATAAGTTTAAAAAAACCCTGCTGTATCTACTCAGAAAAGTGTATGCATTCTGGCTGTTACATGTTTTGTCCCACTTGAACTGTTTGCATGCCGTTCATTCCCCTTGCTTCCTGTCCTTTAGGTCTGCAGTTCTGTATGGTGTATAAAGTCTGAGCCTTTTGTACAGCATTGATGATGCTTGTGTTGTATTCATTTAGAATTTAAATAACTCTTGAAACAATAAAAATAGAAAATACTTTTGAAGATACAAAGTCTATATTCAGTTTGTCATGGGGAGATATTTGAAATGATTGGTGAAAATTCTGCAGGAGCCTTGGAAATGTCATAATTATCCAACTAGCACTCTTAAAGGGTTTAGCATTCATTATTACAAGATGAAAACTTTGGTAGGTTGAAAATAATCATTTGTAACTATAATTTTTTTTTCCCCTTGTTGTAGCTCCCACTCACTCATTCACCCCTGCGCTTCAACCTCAGAATGATTTCCTATCCTGAGTTCATGGGAATTATGAACAAGGGTAGCTGTTGTCACAGCCATTGTAAAAGCTTTAAAAAAAAAAAAAAAGGCAGGGGAGGGTTGGAGAGAGCAAAGGAACATGAACAGTTGTATGGATTTCTTGTTCTTCTGACAAAAAGCTTAAGGCAAATATTAAAAGTACTTAAATTCAGAATACTGCAATTTTGCATAATTTCTAGCTTGTATCATCTTTCAAAATGTTTTTTGACATATGACTTTCTAGTAGTTCAGTTTTAGGTTTTGTTTTAATTTTTTATGTTTATGCTTCCTCAACATTAAAGTCTATTGCACTTTACTTTTGTACTATTCAGAGTATTTCATTTACCTGGAATGAGACAGGAAAATCCTGAATATAATTAGTGGAAGGCCCAAAAGCTTCCTTGAAAACAAATTTAAATCCATGAAATTTGGTTTGCTTCATTCAAAGGATTAAGGGTTCATGACAACAATACTTTGAAAAGTAAAATAAAAATAATCCATAAGCATGATAGGTAACTTCAGCTTAAAATTTAGGACCTTTTTCTTGAAGAGATCTAAGATTCAGGTCTGTTTGTGGCTGTGTATGAAGTACATACTCAAGTTATTTAGGTCTGAATTGGGAGTGAATTACAATACATTGCAGGGTTTAAATCGCCTCTTCCTCACATTGAGGGATTGTAGGAATTTATTTAGATATGGGGTAAACCTGGGGATGACCACTGGTGGTCATCTTGTTTTCACTTTTATCAAATTTCGGACTCTGAAAGAAGAAATGGTGGGAAGTGGGTGGGGATTGAGGATTGCAGATGTAGTTATGTGACATGTACTTGGCTCTTATGGGAGTGGCTCCGAGTGTGCAACTGTCTGCAATGTTGTTGTGTGTTTCTTTGGCTGTGCCACATTCTTGCTCAGCTTCTTATATTATCTTTTTTAATTGAGGCAAATATCATGCTTGTGTTGCTGCAAGGGTAATTTTCTTAATTTTTTTTAAATGCAGTGATAATATTCCTCCATATTAACAGTTCAAGTTTAAGGATATGTAAACTATCATACACTTCCATATTTTTTAATGACCCGATGGTAGCATATAATAGCTTAAGTTCATGAGGTCTTATTTTCAAACACAGCTGTGCATTCAATGCTTATTTTGACTGGTGTTTTACTCATGTTTCTGGGCATTTGTAAATATACTGACAGCTTTTATGGAAACTATCTGAGAAAATGATCCTTAATCTTTTTATACTGCTCCAATACTGACTGTGAATTCTCTTCCAGGTGCCCAGATTATTGATTTGATGATGCTTGTAATAGATGTGACAAAAGGGATGCAGACGCAGTCAGCAGAGTGCTTGGTAATTGGGCAAATTGCCTGCCAGAAGATGGTGGTGGTTCTGAACAAAATAGATCTCCTTCCAGAGGGGAAGAGACAAAGTGCCATTGAGAAGATGACTAAGAAAATGCAGAAGACCTTGGAAAATACTAAGTAAGTTAACAGTAATCATAATGGCTAACTTGTTACAAAATGTATACCACAAATACTTCACCCACATTTCACTTCCAGCATGCTTCTAAACATACTGAGATATCTAGCAAAGATAAGAGAATGGAAAGATTACCAGAAACTCAAATGCAGTCCTGAATTTGCATCTGCAAGTATCATGTGTAGAGAAATATTTTCCTATAATGAAGCTTTTCAGTTTAAAGTTCAGATTGGATAAAACAAAGCCAGAATATCCAGGGGAAGAACTGTTGGGTGTTGATTTGGTTTTTTTGGTTTGTTTGTGGTTGGTTTTTTTTTGGGTTTGGTTTGGTTTTGGGGTTTTTTGGGGTTTTTTTGCAGGTTTTTTTGTTTGTTTGTTTATGGACTTGCAACTTTTGTTGTGATCTGCAAGTCTTTCATTCCAGAGAAAAGAAAATGTTAGGACTTTTCTGTAACTGAGGGTGAAAAATGTGATTGCCCCAACTAGGGGGAGCAGAATGATGGAGGTTTATGTAGTGTAATGTGGATCTGGCTGGGATGATGTTTTTCAGTCCTCTTTAGGTAAATTAATTGAGGTACACAATGAGTGAAGTGCAGTGAGATTCATGAGTTGAAATGTGACTGTTATGAAGTGGGAAGATACAGTACAGTATTTAGTGGTTACACAAACTGAAGCACAGCTTATTTTGCCCAGGGACATGGGGGACGTAGCTGTTAGGTCACATTTTGATTTGAAGAATCAAAGGAATAGGATTCAGTGTGCAGAGGAGAGAATTTCCCCAGGACCAAAAGAAAGCAAAACTTCCTTGGATGTGGCAGTTCCTGCTTAACTTACTTGTGGTGATAGGGCAATCTCCCTTTTCAACTGTACAACTGCCCCAATAGTGACTACAAAGATCTTTGTGTCCTTCCAGCTCCTGTGGTGTTCTTGGATCAATTAATTGTGCTGGGAATAGTACAGAGGTCACCAGGAAAGTGAAATTCTCTCTTGTGAACTTAGAATCCTACAACTTTAAATTCTCTCTGGCACTTGTTAATTTAAGGGCAAATAAATACAGAGTAGCTTGGTTTTCTCTGTAGGTTGCTGCCCCTCATTTTAGGGGAAAGGAGACACCTGTAATATATCAAAGCATTTTGGATCAACAATTTTTTATAGCTGTGAGTTTGTTGATAAAATTCACAGGTGATCCTAATGGGGATAGCATTGAGATAATAAAGTTAGGAAAACTTTAGAGACCATTATCTAATGGCTTTCTTATGATTTTATTTAATTGTTTGAAAGGTTGGTATATAGAATATGAATTAAGCAGTATTACAATCAATAGTTCTTTTATCTGTTTCTCATCTATGCCAAGAAGTTAATGATTTTTAAGAGAGTTTATCTTAATATACTGCTCAGGTTTATTTTGTCCTTTTTTAAAAATTTGTTTATTTTTCTTGAATGGCAATAATTGCTACTGCAGGTGGTACTTCATGCTTGGTTTAGTCCAAGATTGTATTGTGGATGATTGGAAAAAAAGACCTTTCTAATTGCATATCCATAAAAGGAAGACGAATTTTTGTAAGGGAACTAGTGTTCAGAAATACTCTTTATGTACACTCTTCAAATTAAATATTCTTTTTATATCCTGGAGTACAGGTGGGTCTTTACAGTGTGTCTTGAAAATTAGCAGACTTTGTCAAAACTGAAGGGGAAGTGAGTTTTTGCAAACGGTTGACATGCTGACTGAGGTCCTTACCTCTAGCTCCCTTTTAAAACAAGGATGTGCATCAGCTAATCACAACAGCTGTGGCTCCACCCAGAGAGAAATGATCCTGTTACAATGTTTTAATTACTCATTTGAACTCTGGATCCTAGAAATGCTCTTTTATTGGATGTGTCTGTGTGGTGTTCTTGCAACAAAAATTCAGTTTTTGCCTGTGCATTCTGTGCTTTATGGTGCTTTGAAAGCTCTGCTGACCTAGCACTACTTTGATTGTAAAGTGCTTGTCCTGTTACACCTTGGGCATGTGTTGTTTCTTGATAGCCTGTTTTTCACTTGACTTTGAATTGCCAAATGCATGTTTTTTAACAGTTTCTATACTTCTAAACTACTCTTATTAGCAGGGCATATGCTGAGACCATTTGACAGCTGCCTCTGACCCCAAACACTTGGCAATGTTTTTTTTCCTAGGAATAGTTTATATGATTATTATTTCTCTACACACATAGAGGCATGTATGTGCAATTCCATAGCAGTAAGCTAATCTGAAGTCTGTTGCAGCTAGAGAGTAGGTGTTGCCATTGATGCTGGGGAAATTATTGTAGTATTGTCAGGAGATTCCATGGAAGGTGAAATAAAGAATAGGCAGAGGAAAGTAACTGTCATATATTTGAATAGTTTGACACTTGTAAATTTGACCTAATCAAAGCTTGCTTGTTGTTCTATGGATTCATGCCAAAAGTAAAAGCAAAAGGTCCCTATGAATGGAATTTCTATTTTTTTTGTAATTTTTGTACATGCCAGCTTTTATCTTTGTCCAGCAGGGTCTAAACTCTGCTGACAAATCGGTGTGATGGAGTAAGAGTTTTAGTAGGCTGAATCATGTTTGGAAGTTCCTCAAGGGTGGTGTATGATTATTCCAGTTTGTTCTAGTATGTGGGAAAAGGAGTGAAGCACCTGGTTCAGCATAAATTTCTACTTGTTGCCATACAGTACCCTGAAGTATTTGTATGAAAATAAATTTCTAAAAGTTTTATGGTTAATCACATGAATTTTGGTGCACGTTTTTGTTACCCTTTGTCCCTAGATGCCTCATTTACAGCATGTAAACAAAGAAAATAGCTTACATGTGTGATTACTGTTTAGTCACTAAAAGAGCTCCCTCTGTAGAACTTGGCATTTATTCTTTATCAAGGCACTGTCTTTTTCCTCCAGTTCACTCCTTTTTTTCGGATAAAATCTATGGGGAGTGGGTGTCAAAAAGATGACCGCAATAATTACTTTTGGTCTGAATCTGTTGCGCAAGAGTCAAGTATCTATGAGAACCAATCACTGTTTTTCTGTTATTTCTGATTATTATTCCATTGCTTTTAATATATATATTTTACATGGTTAATCTTGACTTTTGCAAAAATACAGTAATAATTTGACTTGCAATCTAACTTCCCTTTCCAAAATGTAAGCAAAACAAGCTATCAGATGATTCAAACACTAGGTTGCCTTTTAGGGAGCAAAAATGAAGTCTGCTGACTGAATTTGTAAAAACAAAACTCAAAAAACCTCATCCCCAAAAACCCACCATGTGAGCTTTATCAACTTTAATTTCAGTAGATTTACGTCTTTCTCTTCTCTGCAGCTCTTGCAGTCTGCCCGCTGCAGACTCAGGTAGACATCATGTGCCATCTGGCATTTGGCTCCCATTTTGAAGATTATGACTCTCCAGCTAGGATTATAATTGTTTTAATGAAAGTTGAAAACAGTGCTTAGTCTGCAGGTAAAGTGGCTTGATTGCAAAGCCACTGCAGTAAGACTGGGTAATAGACCTTTGTTTCTGAAATAAACTGAAGTCTTGCTTTTGACTGCCACAGAGTTGAATCAGTAGCTAATACTAAACAGAACTGGATGTTTCATAGTGAACTCTAGTAGCACAGATGCCAGTAATTCAAGAAAATACTGTCAGTTATTCACTTTGGAGGAAGAGCAGATAAATCAGAACTTGACGAAACTGCTTTGTCTTAATTGTCAAATGAGCCTGGAGCTACTTTACATTGACACATGTAGAAGATCTGTGGTCTAATGGTGGGAGTCTTTCTCTCTTTCAGGTTCTGTGGGTGTCCTATTGTTGCTGTTGCAGCAAAGCCTGGTGGACCGGAAGCCCCAGAGTCTGAGAATCCTCTAGGTGTTTCTGAATTAATTGAGGTACCTGCTGAAGAACATAATAACAACATTAAACATACTCAAACTTTTCTTTAAGTCTTTTGGAGTACGCTGTATTTAGTATCTAGAGCTGAGGAACTCCTGCATTAATGTTAGTTTTAAGGAACCTCATTCTTTAGGGATTCCTTCCAGTGAATGAAGTTGAGGTTGCATGCCCCAGAAGTGGATCTCCTTTTTCAACTACTAGGCTTCAATGCCTTTGAATAGCTGTGTCTTAAGAAACAGCTATCACAAGTTTGATGAAATTGGTTTTAAAGTAGTAAAAAATTATGAAGCATAATGAATAAAAATAACATTAAAATTCTGCCAAATCTTCAGTTGTTTTATAATTGTACCACAGTTAAGAAAACAGTAAAGTTGTGAAGTCAGGCACTCAAAAGCTACATGATAGGAATTATATCCTTCTGTTGTGCGTGTATTGTGATCCAGTGTTGAGGTGCATGATTCTTTATTCTAAACAACCCTTACCTCACTCCTTGCACAGGATGGACAGGACTCAGCTGGTGAGCAGGTGATTTGTATTTTGTTTTAGTTCTCATTATTCTGTGTGGCCTCAGGACTCCATTAATATACTGTTCTGCATTCAGAATGATTAACTTCCTCCTGGACTTGTCTTTGGCATGCATCACTGTGGTCTTAAGCACTTGGCAAACAGTTAATTTACTTCCAAAAGACCTATAGGAAGTGTAGTAGTGACTTTAATCCATATTTAGATTGGGAAGCTGAGGCACAAGGGAGTTAACTCCACTGAGTTTACTAATTATGGTTGCCAAATTTAAGGAAACTAGGAACTCTTTTGGGATGTGCTTGTGTTCATATCATAGGACCTGCCAATTTTGACAGCAAGTGTGAGTGCTTAGGACTTCTGTTAAGCTTTGGGGTTTCTGTTTGGACAGTCTGAGGTGTATAGTTGGTGATTACTTCTGGAAAGTTTCATTTTTAAGAGAATGACTATACATGGAAGTTCTGGTGTAAGCAAGTGTAGAATGCCTTCTCTAGAGGAGCACCACCTGCCTTCATGATGAAATCGTTCTCTGTGATACTCTGCCTTCCTTACTGCATGCTTTGCATATCTGCAAAAGATAAAAAGCATGGCCTGGATTTACCCTGTGCCCTGAATAAGGTAGGACCTGGAAAAAACTATATGATTGTATAACTAACATAATATCAGACATATATGAAGAAAAGACTGTAAGCAAACTGGTGCTTCAGAGGTGTCCTTAGTTCTAGCAGTGTGGGTTGGTATGGGCTGTGGGGTGTGTGGTGGTGTGTTTTTTTTTTTTTGGGGGGGGAGGAGGGAGCATGAAAGAGAATAAATTCTGAAATTTAAAAAAAAACTTAAGTTATACAGTAAGTTATATGGCATGAAGCTAATACTGTGAAGGGCAGGACAGTTAAAATAGCTGTTTGAGAGCAGATTGTAGCTTGTAGTAGACTTGTCACCCTTTCTGTGAATAAGCTTTAGGGAAAAGTAGCATCTTTGCCTTGGAGGGGTGCCACTGTTGTTTGCAGGCAGCAGAAAGTAGCTCTAAAACAAAGGCATCATTCTTTGCAGACTTGTCAAGGTCTGATGTGGATGCTTTGGATGCTGCCAGGTTTAAAATACTTGTAAATTACTGAATTTAGGGTTCAGCACCAGTCATCAAAAATCTAGGCATGTCTGGCAGAGAGTAGCCTGGCTTTGTACAAAGGCAGGATGTTCCACATAGCTGCTGAGTATTGTACCACCTCCCAGGCCTGAGATGCGTATGGGGGTGTGATGTGCTGCGACCTTAGAATAGACTTAGCAAGAACCAGGCTGCCTGCAACAATGTCTAGAGAGGTGGAGATAGGCAAGTCCTTAGTTCTGCCTTCAGTGAGTTCCAGGTAGATTTACTGGGATGTTCCCCAGGGTTAAAACCTTTGAAGGAAATACCCATATTGCAGCTGTTTCTGTCAACTCTGAGACCTAGTGTTAGAAGAGCTGCCAAATACTGTGTGAGCCCTGCCATTGAGCTTCAAAGTATTATCCTTTCTGAAATTGATAAGAGACTCTTTCCGTTGTTCTGCCGTTACACTTGGGCTTAACCTGCAGTTTCTGGCCTTAAAAGCAGACGTTAAAGGCAGTGCCAAGTTTATATGCTGATGTTATAACAGAGGCAGAGATCAAAAGTGATTTGAAACAGGGGTGAACAAGTTCCTCTGAAGCACTGTTGGGTACATCACTGCATTTCTGTAATTAAGGTCTTCTGTCTATTGGTGATATATTTTAAGAAACATAGTATTTGTCAGCGAAACAGAAATCCTAAACTTGGAGAATTTATCTGGAAAATGGTGCTTATGTAGCTATTTGTGTTAGTGATTTTATCCTCCAAGAAGTGTTAACAGAAATCTGAAGGGGAAGTTGACTTTGAAAACTTAACCCAGTATAATACTTTTTCTGGGAGGGAGGCAAGAATGGGCTTTGCGGGGCACTAATATCTGTATATAAGTTCATTTTCACAAAATCCAAAAAAGCTGAAGTAGCAAAATGCACTGTAAAATTGTACTTTTGAGACAGGGGAAAAAAAAGGGGGGGGAATGACGTACAGGGCTTTTTTTTTTCTTTGCTTTGCTGCAGTGTTTATATTGAATTTGGCAGGAACTTTATCGCCAGTGCAGTTTTGCTAACCAAGCTAAATGTGCAGCACCAAATCTTTCTAAGGCAGAAAATCGAACTGCTCCTGTTGCTAAGTGTGTGTCTCCTCTATGGCACACACAGTTAGTTTGACATTGGTGCATTCTAAGCTCATTGGGAGATGCCTGACATCAGTAAAACTGCAAGCGTGTTCAATCAATCATTTGCTTGCCTTCCTTTTGCTATATGGCTGTCATGACTTTTCACCCAAGCATAGTGCTGCTTTTATCTTTTTTTCAGGTCCTGAAGTCTCAGGCTTACCTGCCATCAAGAGACCCCTCGGGACACTTCCTTATGGCAGTTGACCACTGTTTCTCTATCAAGGGTCAAGGCACAGTGATGACAGGGACTATTCTTTCTGGCTCTGTTAGCCTTGGTGACAATGTGGAGATTCCTGCCCTGAAGGTGAGTCTCTCAGTTTCACTCCCCCCAGTTTTCTTGACAGAGACACTCAACAAAGAAGGGAGTGTTCTCTTCCAATCTGAAATTATTCAAATATTTTCAGTGGGGTTTCTTTGTACTCCATTATAAGCCAGCTTATAATAGGAAGAGACATAGAGATTTTAAAATAAGGCAACCTGTAAAGTTACTTGCTTAATTTTAGTTGAATGAAGAGGAGAGAAGACTGACCTAGATTAGTATGTGTAGACTTTCAAATTCAGAAAAGCAAAGTGGGCATGTTTCCAAGACGGGAAGTGCCCAAGGACTGAACAAGGTTTGAGTGAGGATATTTTCATTTGAGATGTGCTGCAGTGAGAAGGCTTACAAAAGAATTTGAGTAGATAGGTTTCCGGAGATGTCTGGAAGTGAAGGAAGTGACAAGAAGAGTGTATTGAAATGCTTGATGCATGTTCTCTGTTTACTGGGGCTTTAATTGATGTCAGCATGTTTTGGGAGAACTGCTGGGATGCAGTAGATGACTTGCTGCTGTTGGGCTTTTTAGAGAGCCTATAGAAAGTCAAGAGGCCTTTCAATGGCCTTTAAACCCCTTAACTGTTGTTACTATTTTATTTCCTTAAAATATATTCATCCTTTAAAAGAAAACAAGGTGACTTTCTACTTGAATAGGTGAAGCCTGTTTCACAGATGCTGATTTGAACTACTCTGACTTTCCCTTTTTATTAGTTGCCCAAAATGAGTCAAGACTTGAAGCGTTTTGCAGCTACTGCTTAAAGTGGACCCAACCGCCTACATTCCGAGAGTAGGCAGCTTTTGGCTCAACAAGCCTGGATGGGACCCTTTTGGTGCTGTCAGTATTGTCCTCGAGTCATGTTACTCTAAGGACCCTATTCTTTCATTGAGTGAACATGCTGCTTTCTCATTTTTGCCTGTACTTTGGGGGCAAGTAAAGGACTAAGTGAGGCATTCTGATTTCACCTGAAATATTTTGCTAGTAGCCAACAATTTTTGGTCAACCTCTTCTGTGATACCTGTGGCCAGGTATATTTTATATGATATTGTCTTTTGCATAAAAGTGATTTGCATAATATGTACCCCATCAAGTCTGCTTTCCTAGTGGAGTTCCTTACTGCCCATATTCTCATTTGCAGCGTGCAACCCATTCTGGGAGCCATGCTCGTAATTCCTCCAGGGAATACGCTTTGCTGGGATTGTAACTCTGATTTCAACCTCTCCTGCTATCCGCTTGCTAGTGTTCCTTCCCTTTTCTGGTGTATCCTGCTTGCTGTCCTGGGCCTGCCTGCACAAGAGGTCCAAGGAGAGACAAGTAGGTAGGAGTACAAGACTCCTGAGTGCTCAGTGGTGGCTCCTGCCCAACAGGAGGCTTGCACAGCTGGTTAGCTGCTTTCCTTTTGGCATAGTACTGGCCAGATTTCCTGTGGCTTTGCACTCTGGCAGATGGGGGTGAGACAGAGCAGGGTAATTACTTCGTGCAAACTAGATTATATCTGGAAATAACTGTTCAGCTCTTCATGTATAGTCCAAGAATATTTTTGGGAAATGTATTTAGGGATTAGTCTGCTCTCTGAGAATCTGTATGAAGAGGAAAATGACAAAAATATAGTGAATAACTTGCATATTGCAGATGAGTGTTTAAAAACGATAGTAGGAAGGGCTCTAAGTGGGATTTTAAAAGATACTTTCTTCCCAAGTGACTGGAGGAGCAGTGAATTGGAAGGCGAGTTAGCAGATAAACAGGTCATTGACAAAGAGAAGCCACATCACTTGGCTTTTATGATATTAACAACTTCCCTCAAAATTTTAGTTATTTTCAATTGCTGTTAATTAATCCTTCACTGCCTTGTGTGAAATAGAAATTACCTCTGAGTGGTAATAGTAGTGGACAGTTTTGCATTTTTTTTTTTTGCCACTAGCAGCTTTTGAATATTCATGTCCATACTGTACAGGTATGGAAACCAAGGCACAGTAGAAGGAAGCAACTTTTGTAAGTTTGAGTTGTGTGTTGTACTTACCCCCGCTAGCATCATGCAGAGTTGGGTTAGGATACCTATGAAAGGTCAAACCTTTCTCAGGCCTACAAGGTAATGGAGGAAGCACATTTCACAACACATTGTGGTTTATGACTCTTTCTGACCTTTTTTTGCCCTGACCCTATGGTAACTGAGATTGACAGCTGGTGCCCACTGGGCATTTAGGGACATTACAAGCCAGCTGCTTTTTAAATTTGAAGAACCCTCTCGCCAAATGAAGTGGCATCACCTTCCAGTTCTACTAATGGACTTCGACATCTTTGACCGCTTGAACCTGCACAAAGGAGGGACACAGCAATTAAAAATAAACAGTGACATTCTCAAACGCCCATGTTTGCTCTGATTGAGGCTGAGAGCACCAGCAGTGCATGGATTCCTTTATGCTGTTGCCTATGTAAATTGCCATCTGGGGTTGATTATCCGTATAGCAAAAAAAAAATTATATGTGTTTGGCAAAAAGCTTTGACACAGCAAACAGTTCACTATCCAATTGAGTTAGTACTATTTGCTCACTAGCACTTGAAATCCACCTTGAAGAGCATGAACCTAGGATTTTTGCAGCAAAAACGTAGTGTTGGCGGAATTCTGAATGTCCTTTACGATTATTTCAGTGGTCTTTCCATCTCTACAGTCTTCCAGTTTATAAACTGTAACAACTTGTGACATTTTTATTTCTACTTTATAAAAGTTCCTGGAGTTTGAACAGTAAGGATTTTTTTCAATATAGATTAATTTTATTTTGCTGATAGGTTTGGTGATAATCACTTCAAAATATTTCTCTAAGTATATGTTATTTAGTGAATTTAGTTTAAGTGAGCATGAATGTCAAATTCTAGTGCTGCTGTGTCTTTTTATAGCATGTTTTAATTGAAACAGTGGTTTTTTTCCGTGGGTGAGAAGTATCTTTGCCTTCCTTATCCAGGTGGGGAAAAAAAAAATAGCTTAAGAACAGCAGCTACTTAGAAGGCAAAAAACCCACGCAAGAACCAGGACTTTTGTTCTTATCATTGGTTGTCTCATAACAAAAAAAAATAATTCTTATGTGAAAAGTAATGCAAAATGTTGTATGGCATATGGTCTTCTTTCTGCACAGCGTTAGTGATTCGAACTTTGGATTGCACAGTTGCAAGCACATTAGAAATACTGGAAGATTGGGTAAAACAGATGATAATGTGTTAATATTCCTTTGAAGATGTTTTAGGGCACAGAAAATGTTCCAGATTGGTTAATAAGAATCACTCTGTCTTAAGAGTTGTGAAAGACATAGAGGAGGTCAAGTCTGAATTCAGTGAGGAGGCAGACAGCAGATGTACACAGTTAATGGATATAAATCTGGTCGTCCTGAAAGTGTTGACTCAGCATTGCCTTACCTGTGATCAAGTGCTGCAGGTATATAGCAGCCACAAAGCATGCACGTGGCAGCCAACTATAAACACCACTGTTGTTTTTTTCAGGACTTGCAAGAAGTAGAAACTTTTCTTCTTGCTTTATACTCAAGTTCTTATCTGTTGTATTTAATGTAGTTACTGACAAACGTTAGAGCAAGTTGATGCAAGCTGAAGGGCTGGTGGATGTTAGTAGCTTCATTGGAGCCTATATAAAAGTACAGTATGCTGCAATTTTGTACTGCGTTTTGTCAGAAGTTCGTGAGTGCCTTGAAGGCTGAGTAGGTGCATTATTGGTAAACAGTTACGTTGATTTTTATTTTTTTTTCTGTAGGTGATCTTCTGGCGATTTTCGCTGTGTGCTGAAACTGAATAATGCATCTGGTGTAATATAGTACAAAGTTATTTCTTATGTAATAAATCACATGGACACCCAGTCAGTGGACTGACCTTGGCAGGTGCCTCTTTAGACATTGTCAGATTTTTGATCTGCTAGGTGTGGTTCAACTGTTGTCATTGAAGGGGAAGAGGAGTATTCATACCGGGTCCAACCTTCACCATCCCTGAGGTTTGCAGTAGACAATTGCTGTTGTTCAGCATTTCAATCTCAAAAGCTGCAAGTATGTTCATGAAATGCTTCTCTTGTAGTTGGAAAGTAGTCATCCAGGTGTTTTAGTACTCTGATATACTTTCAAGAGGTCACTTGAGACATCAAATATGAAAAATGTGAGAAACTTGTGTCTGTTTGTCTAGGCAAGTCTCCTAGTAAATGGTAGTGTCAGTTTAAACCAGTAGTGGATTCTCTCTTGGCAAAGGCCTGTTTGCTGTCAAATTATATTGACTTTATGAACTTTGAAGAAGCATCATTTTATAACTGGTACTGAGAAACTTCATGGTTTTGTATACTTCCACCATATGAAAAGAGATTGTTTTTTTAAAACTTCTTTGTTGGCTAGATAACCTTGGTCTGTTTTTTGGCAAACATTCTGTAGTTTTTATGGCTCATCCAACAAAAAAATGCTCCAGTGTCTGATAGAATAAACCAAATAGTATTTGCAAGACTATTTCCTTCAAACCGCCGTAGCTATTCAGATTGTGACAGATATATTTGCTTTTGCCCACATGACTACTTCAGCCTTTCTGATGTCCCAAGACCTCTGATTAGTGAGATTTAGTATATAAATGTAGTAAGAACTAATTTTCATGTATTTAAGGGCTTTTTGCACAGAGTTGCACAGTTAAGTCTTGTCAGAGAACATTTAAATCTCGGAAAATGAAGTTGAATCAAACACCACTGAATTGGATCACAAAAACACTTGTATGTGGACTTTCATGGTAAAATCTTAAATAAGTTTTTACCACTGTTACTTTGAGTTCTTTGGACCTCATAATATACCCCTTCCAAATTTCAGGATATCTTGACTGCTTTTTGCACTGGAAATAAGTGCTTTTTGCACTTGCTAAATTTTCTGAGAGTATGTCTGAATGCTGTTTCTACATCTGTTTTTTTCCAGCACTTCTTGGATTTTTCTTGCCCAGTGTTGATATAAACAGCCTTTAAAATGCTATG